TGGCTACGTTCGTTACCGACGCGCTGGATATCAGGCAACTTTCGTTTTTATTAAATGAAAAATGTAAGGAAAAATTGGGTTTCGAAGGAGCTTTTAATAGATTGATGTTGGTATACTTTTAATTTCGTTTGAAGGAGCGAGCGGAAGGGAAAAAATGTAAACTTGCTTGGGTGTTGTGCCTTAATCGAGCAGTTAGAATTGTCCCAAAATTAGGTCAAGAATAGGCATGTGAAAGGTTAAGTTTAAAATACTGAATTACGAAAAAGGATTTTGCTCCCATTTTGTAGGATTCAATTTGCTCTCCTGAAGAACGGATACTTCAACTGAAGCGGCGATTGGAAACACTGGTCTATGAGCATGTTTCTCGAGCTCTCTTTAAGGCTGACAGATTAACATTCGCTTTGCATCTGGTCCGTTGTCTTCGTCCAGAAACGATAGAGGACAGAGTAAGTCTGTTAAATAAATATTCTATTTCAATGGTCCCATCCAGTTAAGCATTATCAAGGTCTAATTTTTTATTGTTTGTTGTACAGCTGCTTGCCTAGCTTAAATAATACGGCTCTCTTGCCTCGGTACTTTCTTCCCGGTAGTCGTTTAGCCAACACAAGTGCCTAGAAAGAAGACAAATGAACTTAATGAGGAATGCAGTACTGGATAATGCCAGTTAGCCAGAATTTCGGAAAGTATTGAAGCAGCTGAGGCGAAAAAAGGAATATATTCAAACGATTGAAGTATATTTGAGTCGTTTATATAGCCTACGCGATTCTGAAATAACTGGTTTGGGAGAAAAGTCCGTTGTTATGCCAATAAAGAGGATGCTTTTGGATTGGTTCGAATTGCCCAATCCACTTACAATTCACGGTAATCTTCGTATATCTGTAGGAAAAATGTGTTTCGAATAATCCATAAATAACTGCACATTATTGTGCCTTTCATTTCGTTTTAAAAAGTGGCTCAAGAGATTCGTAAATTGGCTTCCCCAGAAACCGATGTAGGGTCACCTTGTAGTTGTTATTGTAGATTTATGCTATGAAGTCCTGGAAATCCAACCATCCGTACTGAGTTTTCTTCTGTATCGCCAAGACGGGTTTCTTTTCTAGTCATGCGTATGAGGAAAAGTTAGGAGTTTTTAAGTTCGATGATGCTAAGAATTCTGTATTATAAATTACTCGCCGGGGCAAGAAAATGTGGTTTGGGAAAAATATTAGTGGAGGACAATTATCCATCAAGAATAATGGACACGAAGAAAATCTGAGTTTCAAAGATATCTTTTTTTCATTTAGTGTGACTCGAATTTAAAGTTGGTTCAATCAAATTCATGTATTTGCCTCACCCTAGGCCAAAACAGGATTAACTTGGAGCAAATACTCTTGGATTATGCAAAACAGTCTTCTTCTCAACGTTTTAATACTCCGATGAACCTCTGCTGGGCTTTCTCCTGTCATGGGGCGGATATCATCTGAACAAGGAACCATACTTTGCAAAAAACCGCACCAACCCCGGTTGAGTTTAACGTTCTGATTTGCTGTTTTGACGATATCTTTCACATGACATACATAAGCTCAGTACGGTTTCATCGAGGTCGCAAAAAGCTGGGCAGAGATAGTCGTCGCACAATCCAATAGTCTTCACTCCAAGTCACTCTTTCGTTTTCCGGTGAGGCCAATCCACGAATCTACTCCAACCAACTTTTCTTTTGAAATAAAGAGACAAGTCACACTACTCTACAATTATACGGAAATAATAGAAAATAGAGAGAGGAAAAACATTTACATTGGTCAAGACAGATTGCCAGGCCTCTCCATTAAGATCTTTTTGATACTGTTCTGTCAGCTCGGGAAATTTGTGTAAATTACTGAGGAAGTTGGATTTTGTATCACTTAATAAATAGACAATAATACTTTTTTCAGCAATGCCTTCTTTTCGGTAGTTTGCAGGCTGTCAGAAGGTTTTGTGTTCATGTGATAGTTAATATGGCGGTTGGGGGAGGGAAAAGATTGGCTGACGCATGCAGATGAAGTGATCTGAACAAAGCGATATGGATCCCAAAATGTGAACTTACTGAGCACATGGCTAATGCAAGCTGCTAAAGGCCAAACTTTGTGGCGAAAGTTAATCTTTAGTCCTACTTCATCGTACGTAACCGAAGGCAGGTAAGGCTTTTATGATAAATTATTCTTTTAAACCCATCTTGTATTGTTCGTGTTTAATATATACATTTCTTTCTTTATAAGGTAATCGTCATAAAAAAGCAAGCCTTTCTTAAAGTCGCTGTATCCTCTATGCATAATTGACCAGTGCATACATTAAGTGTCTAATCAGTATTTATTTTCTTGCTGCAATTGACTCGTGACTGTCTTCTCTCTTCTGGCGAATTAAATGAGGCGGCCGATTATTGATGGCTATTAGTCTCGTATATGCCACGAATTTTAGTTATTTCTCCATCTTTAAACACATTTTAGATTAGCCATCAATTGCTATAAATAATGTAGCCCTGGTTGTATATGGAAGATGACGCATTTAATTTTTACAACTTTCTCCACACAAGTCCATAAGTCCCTGCTATGAACATGCTATTAACCGATTTCCTAGACTATGGAAACTTTATCTTTCTTTTCATAAGTTTAGACTTCATATACTTCATACATTAGTATTCAAGGCCCATCTTGGGCCTCATATATCCACTTCTCGCCTCTTTTATACATATTTTTCGCTATTACCTAATTAAATTTCCCTTTGTTTCTCATGCGCCGACATTTTTTATATAGGAATGGGCTTTCTTTGTTGGTATCCTGGCCAACGACTTTCCTCAATCTCAGAATGAAGTTCCCTCATGGATTGAGCCTGACCGTTCAAAGGCGTATTGCCTACTACAAGTAAGTCACTTAGGCTAGTTGTAACACATTTCGAGCATGAGGTTGAGCAAACTTGTGATACAAGCTATTTTGGTTCATCGATTTTTCCCGTTTAAATTAAATAAGTTTCACATGTAGAGGCAGTATGCTGTTCAGTGAGCCGCTGTAGTTGACATTTTTCATGGAACCACTGCCTGATTGACGCTTCTGACTAGTGGGCTCCAAGACATCCCAGTCATTTATTCCAATGGGAGTCATTTTTAGTTTTTCATACTTAGAGGCTATGCCAAAGCTGAAATGTAATGGAAAGCACATCCCAAACCCACCACCTCACTGAACTTAGATAATTGATCATGCCGGTTCACTTGAATCCGATACAAACCTGACATAATGTCTTATTCGTAAATTATATCGTATCGTGTAGAAAAACTGGTTTTCGAAGAATTAAATGATAGATTTATGTTGCATTAGCCTTCATTTTGTTTGGATAGGCGAGTAAAGGGTTTTCGTATGTTGGTCTCACTGGCAGTTGAAGGGAGATTGCCTTTGAGTGATGACTGTAGATTTATGCGAATGAGTCATTTGCTCACCATCCCACGACTCAGACGAAGCCTTGCTGAGCTTTTGTCTATCATGTAACAAGCATCGACAGAGCAGGACACCAAGCCTAAGGACAATAGAGGTGACCAGCTTCAATCTTACCTATCTCTTATAGCCTAACTTTGACCACTTGATGAGACATCTCATGATTTGCTTGGTTATCCTATGCTTTCCCTAAATGGGCTATAAACAATAGGTACAAATTCATTTGGCCACTTTTGTTGTCTTCGTGTCAGGGGAGTATCGTAAAGCGTGATGCCCGTCACATAACGGAGGTAAGCTCAGTTTTTGTCGGACTGTCCTTCGACTCAAATGAATCCGCGATGAGCTTTCGCCTGTCCAACCAAAAGAGATATCTTCAGGCTGGAGAGACATGCTTTAAAGCCTATATGCTTTAATACGAACATCAGGTTGACACAGTCCACAAGACAGCCTCCCTCGTTTCAGGTGAAAACGGGCTGAGTTTTCGTCCATCATTTGAAGGATATCATCAGAGCTGGAAGTCATTCATGTAAAAGTATCAACACTCGGTCAAGAAGACCATCCGACTCTATCTTACTTTTTATATAGACTCAATTAGACAAAAGCAAATTAAAAAGCCGAGAGAAATATAGAATGGTTCGGCTAATTCTCTTTCATATTGATACTGCTACTTTGTGTTGAGTGTGTGTGTGTGTGTGTGTGTGTTTTAAAGTTTCTACTCAATACCGGTCCTAAATCAGTATTTAAAAGACTGGTGTCGGTAGCTGGTCATCAAGGCTTAATAGCCCAAATTGCATAAGTCAATAAGCAAGTATGGTTGAGATAATGAGGTTTAAGCTAGTAAGTGTGTAAGTTAAGTTACGAAACCACCTTCCCCAACCTCACAGTCTAAAGTCATTAACTTTAGCCAATCCAGAAAAGACATGACTGAGGCTACGTAATCTCGTACGACTGGTTTGGTTTATGAGCTTAATCTACATGTTGGACGAGTGAGAGTGAAGTTACAACCATCACTGGGAGGACAATTTGAGTCGTCTTTTTTTGGATGGCGGCTCAATACCCTCACTCTCCTTCAATCTATCAATCAAGCATAAATAGCTTTTACCTAACTTCTTGTTCAGCTGGCTTACCTTGTAGAAAAGTTCGTTTGAGGAGTGTAGAGGCTAGAGCTCCTTCTAAAGTTCGGCTCTACTGGGTCTTGTCGGGCGTGACGGTTTGATTTGACATGATGACCGCGATTTTGCATTTAAGGTTACTGGATTATTAGTACATGTGACGTCTTAAAATGTGGAATATATAAACACCGCTACCGAGATAAGTATCAAAAAGAGTTAAATAAATGATCTTGTTTAGTTAAAAATCACTGTCACCTGTTGGTAGATGAGTTGTCCAAATAAGAGAGGCTAGGGCTAACTCTTTACTGTCTCGATGATCATGCCGGCCACATGACTCAGCTGGACTTGAGTTGTATAATTTCTCTCATATGTCTGCAATTCGCATCACGCTAGAGATGCCGGTGAGGTTAAATCTGTAGTCCAGACAGGAGGATGGCCTTTTAGAAATTATTGCAAGATCCCGACTTACTTTCAATTCATCGTAGCGACCAAAATGGCTACCTAAAAGACTAAGGTCACTTAGCACCAGTCGAATCCTGTTTGTCAGCTGGAAGACTTTTTGTAGTTCGATGGTCATATTTTGCCTAATGATTAAAGGAGCTTGTTTTCTTCGCAATTCGGTTAGTCCAATCTGCCAAAGCTCCTCAGCCGGCTAAGTCTGGACGACGGGACCGGCGCCTCTGTCTGGAGGCAGTGGTTGGCCTCAGCCGACCTTCAGTTGGCCCCGCCTCAGTCGGTCGCCGTCGAGACAGATTCACGACAAAGGCTGGCCGAAAGAGGAAAAACACGTGAGTGGGCCAATGACAAGAGTCCGCCAGGGAGTGCGTTTCAACAGCTGCTGATAGTACAAGCTCTGCGTCCTGATCGTCTTTACATGGCCATGATGAATTTTGCATGCCAGAACCTTGGTAAGAGATATGAATGTTAGTGTGCATTTCTTGTTACATCGATATTCACTAGCTAATAATGCTATTGAACAGACCAAATCCCGTTTTTATGATAAGACACTGCTTAAACTTGAATTGATTTTAATCTCTCATCCAAGGCAACGTACACAAGTTTGTCGTCTTTTCTCCCATTGTTGTCAAGTCTCAATCCAGTATCGGACCATTGGCTGGGTACCTTCTCAGACATCAGAAAGAGCAATTCCACCCTTAGCACCAAGTAAGAATCAATCAAATGGACAAATCTTCTCGAAGATATGAAGACCAAGATGGTGCGCCCTTTACCATAGTCGTGGTCTCCTTTCATTGTATGGAAAGGGTTTGATTTCGTTTTCGGAACTTGGTTATATTGTCAGAGAGACTTAGACGAGCACACCTTGCTCGGAGTCCTCTATCGTTGTATCCATACTATTTTCCAGCGTAGGACTATGAATTTCGTACAATTACAGACGTCTTCTTTTCTTAACACTTCACTACAAGTCGTCAAAGAGACAAGACTCGCCTTTTCCTCTTGTCACTGTTGGTCAGGACAAGACTTATCTCTAAAGATTTTTAGTGTTGCACTGAGAATAGCAAAACTTACTGATGATGCTGACTACGATGCCGGCGAAACGTCTAGGAATGTACCAAGTTCACCGTTCGACGCTGGAAATTATCATGGATACTATGGCAGAGGACTCCGAACATTAAGCGTTCAT